TTCTCACCTATAAAAATTTATTATAAAATTAGTTCTTAATTTCCAATATTTAGAGGAACATCCAGGACAATGATAATATCCTTGTTTCAAACAGAAGCACAAAATGTTTACTTTATCTATAAATTTCAATCTTTTCTCATTAAATCTTTGGCCTGAACTGTCAGAGTGAAATGACTTTCAACTTAAAAAAAACAACATTTATTTTTAGGAGTGAGAAGTAAAATAACTATTAGGAATGAAAAGTTAGCTCTAGAGTGATTTCTTTTTTTTGTGACAATACAGCTTATAGGTGATTGGAATGAAGGACTAGAGTGAGTAATTCTAGAGTTACAAAAATTTACAGTAAAAGAATCTACACAACCTCATTATTATTTTTAAGTTCTGACCCCAAATTATGAAGCTTTTGAGAGAGGAGCATCCTGATATTCTTTTTCTAAATATCATAAAATAAAATAGTATATAACATAATAGAACATATAACAAAACATAATCTAATACATGTGATATATACATGACTTATAATGTATAATGAAATCAATATATTACTCTCTGATATTTATAATCATTCAGATGTAATCATTTTTATTTCCTACTCAAAATAAAACTCCATGAAGGAAGGGATTTGTGTCTGCAATGTCTGAAACAGGGATGGGCAGATTGAAGGTGCTCAGAAGATATTTATTGAATGAATGAATGAATGAATGAATGTGTATAATGTTTAGCTCTCTTTGAACATAAACTGAATTTTGCTAAATTTGACTCACAAGAGATTAATTAGGAGTCAAAAAACTTTGAATTCGTGGATTTGTTTTCTTAGTCTAAGGCAGAAGTGAAGGTGTCCACAGCTCTAAAACTCTGAGGAGAGACAAAAATAAATGGGGTTTGGGTGAACCTTAGGATGGTTGGAAAATCTTACCTGTTGTCTCAATTTATCAGGAGTTTCTCTTAGACCTCATCTTGGAAATGCTTTCCTTTTCACTACAGTAAAGAAGTTATCTTTGGTAGTACTCATCTCAAGTTTGCTAAGGGTTTAACATAGTTAAAATCAATTCTATTGAAAATTCTTAAAGGTTATGAAATCTTAATGCATTTTGAGTTGAAATATTCCCATTGGAGCCACCTGCTAGTTTGTACAGTATGTAGCCTTTACAGGCTGTCTTCTTTCACTTAGTAATATAGTTTGTCTTTGTTTTTCATTGTTCTGACTGATTCATAAAGATATTCCAAGCTGTTGCCAATAACCTAGTGGAAGTTAACTAAAGAGAAGATATTTTGTCTTGTATGAAATAAAACCAACACTAGGACATGCTAGCGAATGTTTCATCTGGAAGAGGAGCAAGTTTTGGTCAAGTCTATTAGGCTTTCAAAATTGTTAGCAAGCTCTTAGTCTTTTCTATATATTTACTGTGCATCATTTTATCTATTACTTTGTTGCATTTAAATTGTTTACAAAAATATTTTAAATGAGATTCAAGCTAAAGAACATAATACAGACCTTACACATGCCTCCTAAATGTCTTAAAATTGACTCTTTTTTTCTTGGGTGGATCAATTGGTAATGTAGGGATTTAGTTACATGACTCAGAATAGGGAGTAAAGTGTAGTATGTTTTCTCTATTGATTGTTTATAGCTATCAATTATTCATGTTCCTCTTCCTGTGTGCATCAAAAGCTGCTGCAGCAAAAGTCCTCTCTGCTCTAGCCACTATGCAATTTTTTTCTCCCTTGAGATAGATTACCATGTACTCTGCAGCTCACTTTGCTTGGATTATGGTATAGTATTATCTATAGCAAGGAGGAATTTAACTCTTTTGTTGTGGGAACTTCATGTGATTGCCAATCAGTAGTGTTGAAATGGATAATGTACTGTTCAGTGACTGATTTTATTTTGCAGTGACTATCACTGACAGCACAGAGCTCTCTAGGAATATTTTATGCTTTTTTTACATGTCATTAAAATAGAACACAAGGTTGAAATAATGCCCCTGCACAGCAGCAATTATTTATAGTGTATCTTATTTAAAGATGAAAGCAGGATTGGATGCTCACAGCTAAAATAAAATAGAGCTTTGGATTGGCTTTTTAGCTAAAAATGGGAACTATCACCTCCAAATTTTTTCTTGGAATAAGCTAAACTTTTGTAAATATGCAAGTATTCTCATTTTAGCATATTGTTTGAATTCATGAATATAAAAAATATCTT